AAAATGATAGAGAATGCATTTCATATGCAAGACATGTCATAATCTCACACAGATTGTGGTTCTTATGAACATGAAGTGACAAGAGTTTTGAGAGCCCAGTAAAAAAAAATCTCTCCCCAAACTCTCTTTTGTGGTAGAAAATTATAGCATTAATTCTCTGCTAGTCACTGGGCAAAAGACTGGGCATGCAATTTATGAATGAACTACAAATGTCTGATAATCTTCACTTCTTAAAAATATTTTTTCTCTACTTAAGAATGCTACACTGGACTCTATATTTTCTTTCTCACCACCTATAATATTTCACAGGATATTACAGGTGTCAATTTACAGGCGTCAATCACTATGAAAATGATTAAATAAAAAAATGAAAAATTATCTATCCTTGAACCGTTGCACCTCGTTCATTCTGTAGCCTTCATTTTTTTATTCCCTGCATGAATATTGTTACCAGAATTTGTCTGTGACATTCATTATAGCGTGCTTGTCCTTGATGGGTGATCATTCTTTAGAAGGAGCACATCCTGAGGGAGTCCATCTAGCTTCTTTCAAAGCAACATCACCGTTCTACCCCAACTTACTGTGTGATCATAGACAATTTGCCTAACTTCCAGAGTCTGTTTCCTTATCAGTGAAATGAGAAAAATAATAGAGTGGCTGGATTGTTATAAGTAGTCAATGAGCTATATATTTGTAAAACCTCACACATACTTAGCTTTAGTAGAGGCTTAGTGTGTTGTCATTGTTGTTATTACTTGTGTTATATTAAACAGTAGTTTGTAAGAAATAAAATCAGTGGAAGAAAACATTATTAAAAACAGCATACTAAGACAAAAAAGGTAGGTGCTGATGAGAGTATTTTTAATGACCCATTGTATTAAAAGTGCTGGCAAAGTAAACTTGCCAACTACCTGGCCTGAGATCTGTCACTTCATCTCAAATTACCTTGCCCTTTAATATAGTAAATCAGAATGAAGTAATCATTCTCTAATGTTGCATATTTTTATCAAAGAAAAAAGTAAGTGAATTCTCAATGAGCTGGCTAAAAATGAAATCAGTCAATCAACCAGTCAACCAGTCAACCAGTCCACAGAAGAACAGTTCCCACAATTCTGATGTTAGTGAAACAGCAGAAGGTAGATTTGAGTCCATTCTTTCATTTCTAACAAGACACCTAAGACCTCTGAGCCTCAGATTTTTAAATCATAAAATGGAATCAATACTTTCCTTTTAAGGTTGGTGTAAGAATCAGGTCAGACAGTGTAAGAAAGTTCTTTGTAAACACAAAATCACTTTATAAATGTAACATTAAGGCCTTGCTTAAAAATCATCACTGATTGTTTATTGTGTCATTTTGAATCACATCCTATATCCTCTTACTAGCTTTTTGGCCCATACTTTATAAAAGCTCTGGAGTCAGACACTGAATGTGGCATTGTAGCCAAATAATTTTATGAGTCAGATTGGGAGTCTCCTACTTTATAATCCATTAGGTCTTGTGGCCACCAAATTCTACACTTAAGATGCACATCTTAGGTGTTTATAAAACATGGAACCTTGAAGTAGCCATCATGTTCTGTAAATATATTTTGAAACCAGTACAGAATACATGAAGACAATCAAATTTGCTGCATATATTTTCAGAACCTGGCTAATGTAGCACTCGAAGATGGATTTCACAAATATACATCTACAGAGGAATGTTTAGAGATAAGATGGAAGTTGTCCTCCTTATTAATCACACATTGTATATTTGACTTCTGCCTCTCTCCTCAGCCTTTAAATCAACTACGTCTGGTTTTTGCTACTTAAGTGTGCCATTACCTTTTACATTAAAAAGCAGTTAGAGAGAGCAGCCCCATTTGATTAAAAAATAATTAGCTAGCATTAGATTGTAAAAAATCGTTACTCATCATGGCAACCCAAAGAAGAATTTTAGGATAGGTTGGAGACCTGCTTTATTTCTACAACAGGATCAGCAATAGAAGTGGGAGGCTCTTTGTGATGAATACTGGCACAAGGCAGATACTTGATTTGCTGGTGTTGATTTTTACAGTTAAAGGCACAGTGATGCAGAATAGGTGAATGGATAGTATCTAATACTGATAAACCACAAAGCAGCTAAACCTTGATGTAGTCACTCTATGTTAGAGGGAGTCCTCCTCTGTGGAGATCGGGGCACATGATTATTACTACACCCAGAATAAGTCAGACTCTGGGAACTGACTCCCACTATCCAACCACATAAGAAGTTAATGTAATTGTATCAGCAGATCTATACTGGAGCTCACTGGTTAGTGAATTTCCTCTCAGGAAAGAAATCTACATAGGGAAAACAAGTTTTTAGTTGAAATTTCTTGGTAAGCATGGCATAAAATAATTTTGATGGTCTAAATCACTTTTACTCAAGGAAATTGCCATTTGTGAACAAGGTAAAAGGCTAGTTGTTCTTTAGTCCCTAGGTCGAGTCCATCTCTTTGCAACCCTATCCATGGACCATAGGCTGCCAGGCCCCTCTGTCCGTGGGATTTCCCAGGCAATAATAATACGGGTTCTAAGCCTGAGTAGTCTCACCTATAAAATGGCTATAACAATACCTACCATATATAATCGTTATAAGGTTTAAGTGGTATCATAAAAGGAAAAGCACTTAGCTCAGTGCCTGCAGCATAGTAGACAATGGCTTAATATCAGCTATAAATGCCAGATATCATCTCCATGATGGAGATTTATCTGCTGTTTTTGAGAATATACACATTTATATACTGCCCCATATTTCTGGATAAGCATGAAGCATACTGCTAATACGTGCTTGAGGCTTCCTTTGCTAAGCATTCGTTGTTAGAAACTTAATGTGATTGAAGCAAAAGAAAAAAAAAAGTGGGCTGCTCAAGGAACATCACGCAGTTTACAACTTCATGTCCAAGGATGAATCTGGCTAAAAACATGACAAGATTGAGGTACTCTAAAAGTACTCTTCTATCTGTATTACCTGGCTATCTGTCTCCCTACCTACCTGTCTTTCTGACTTAGCCTCATACTTAGGCTGGCACTGGTTTTGTGATGGCAAAATGGGACATCAACTGTCAAGCATATATGTTACCAACTTACCACAGAGGAAAAAGAAGTTCTTTTGTAAATGTTGGACAGAATTGAGTAACTGAGACTTAATGGCTTTGCTTATGGTATCTTTTCATTCTTGAACCATTCATTCTCTCCAAGCAAAAGCAGAATATTGTGGTTTGTCAAGCTCAAACGTATACCTACCCCTGAAGCTAGGGTAGGACTACTCTACTTAAAGCATTTGTTCTGAAGGAGGAAAAGAAACTTTTCCAAAAGAAAGTTAAGGGGTGTTATTAGGAAAAAAAGGAACATATGAGCAGAATCCAAAACAATCGATGTCTGATACTCCAACCTATCCTCTGTTCTCCTACTCTTCCATTGTTGTTTAAATATGTTAGTTCAATTGGAATAAAGCCAAGATTGAATTTAGCCCAGAGACATAAATTTTGTTAAGATAATTTCCAGATATGTATCCTAATCTATTTTGTATTTGTTTTATTAAAAAAAATTTGTTTCCTCCTACTTCTAATTTGGGAATAAAGGATGAAGAGGAGTTACCTTATACTGACCACAAACAAGGTCAGAACTTATTACTAATAACATGAGTTTGATTCTGACCTTTCATTTTGTTTAGCTTGGGGCAGACTCACATTTGAGAAATAGAAATAAGAGATGTTGTTAGAAAGTGAACTGCCAAAGTTTACAAAGAAGAATTTAGTTTTAGGCTATATTTATTACATGACAATAGTGTTACTATAGATTATAAAATAGGGGATGTATTTTGGTTCACCAAATCAGTAAAAATCACGTAGCTGTTAATGATTTGGAACCAAGCTTGTGAAGCAGGACTTGGCAGAGCTATCCAGTGGTTAACAGTGTTGGTATGAGAGTTAAGGACTTCAGTACTCAATTCCAAGTCTGACTGTTTTTGCGGTGTGTGGCCTTGGACCTGACTTCTCTCGGATGCAGTTTTCCCCGTATGTGTAATTGGGTAATAAAATGTAGTCACCACACAGTGCTGGGGGAGAATTAAGTGCACTAAGAGGGAAATGCAGGCTTCTCTCTGTATTTTTCAAGCAGTGCATATGCTCAGCCTTATTCTCCCAGGTGCCTAACGGGCTCCCTTATATTACGTCACTTAGTAATTCTTCTTGGCCTCTATGGTACTATTTATTTTACAACTGTAGTATTTTCTAAGATGGCACCATAAAGGACTAAATGTTGCCCAAGGCAGGAACAGCACATTCTGCTTTATGGACCATACTTTCAGTGAGTTTGTGTGTGTGTGTGTGTGTGTGTGTGTGAAAGAACACAGAAGCTCTGAGGCTCTGCCGCTCATTTCATATGCTCTTGCCTATACTTTAATATTCCTTTAAAAGCCTTGTGTTTTGGAAAACTGTCCCCCTCCTACTAGTTGTCCTATTTCTCTATCCCAGCATAATCTTTTATTTTTCATTACAGAGGAGGCAGAATTATTCTCAATGTTGAGTGGTCATCATGATAATAATGAAAAGACGAGAGAACCAAGATTTAGATTTAAATTATTGTGGTAACTCTGTTGAGTTTTTGCTGGATGACCTTAGGCTCATCATTGACCTTCTTTAATTCTGTTTCCTCACCTATAAAATGAAAAGAACAGTGAGTTCATCCGTGTGTGACTCTCACACCTTTGCTGTAAGGGTTAAATGAGAAAGCACTAGCCAAGTGTGAATTTCCATGCTGATTGTGTTGATTAGATATATGCATCAGTATATTAGGAGTTTGTTAGCAACTCCTGTGTGCTCTGTCCCATTTCCACAGCCTCTCAGAGCTGCAGAGGATTCCTGCCAGATGGCTCATTTGCCAGCTGTATCTTGTTTTGTCATTGTAAATATTACATGCTCCAACCGAAAGGCTTTGCTTATAATGTAGTATGCCTTGCCCTTCATCTCTTGCAGATTGAGAATTACATTGTGGAAAATATGAAGTCCGAGATGGCTCAGATACAGCAGAATGCAGTTCAGAACCACACGGCCACCATGCTCGAGATAGGGACCAGCCTCCTCTCTCAGACCGCAGAGCAGACCAGAAAGCTGACAGATGTTGAGACCCAGGTACGTCGTAGACCTAGAGATGACAAACTCTCAACTGGAAAGATTTCTTTTTTTTCCTTTAGCTTACTCCATAAACACAGAGCACATTTCAGCACTGAGATTGGGGAAACATATACATTTTTGTTTATTGGTTTAATAACAACAGTGACTGCCTGACATGCTAGGCATGCTTCTCTTGATTTCATGAGAGTTGATATATTTAGCTTTGTAAGTTTGCAAAAACAGGACTGGAAAAGTACTTAATCAGCATTTAAATTTCAAATAAATTCATTGCAACTACCAACTGTGATACGACCTATGTCAAACAGAATAAGCGTTTGTGTCAAATCAGTGCCTTTGATGTACATTTTGACCTATGCTGTTTTATCTCTGGTAGTACTCTACCATAATGGCACCTGCAGAGGTTTTGTGCAGTCAGTGGATAGGAAGAAAGACCCCAAATGAACTGATCTGGAATGTGTAGATTTTTTTGTCAGCATGATTTTATAATGAAAAGTAAATTAAAACTCTGTCTTCATAGGTATGCTCACATATGTGTATGTGCTCAGTTGTTCAGTGGTGTCCGACTCTTTGCAATCCCATGGACTGTAGCCTGCCAGGCTCCTCTGCCCATGGAATATTCCAGGCAGGTTGCCATTTCCTCCTCCAGGAGATCTTCCTGACCCAGAGATCGAACCCACATCTCATGAATCTCCTGCATTGGCAGCTGGATTCTTTTACCAGTGTACCACCTGGGAAGGCCCATATGTACACATATGTATATGTATTATATATTATATATTACCCTACTATGGACAATGACATACTTATGTTCAAGTCAGTAAAATGTCTTTTAACTATCACTGCCACAAGTCTACCAGTACAGTTCAATGAAAATATTATTTTTGATGACTGGAAGATAACCTCTGTGTCCCCTTTAAACATGGAAATGGTTATTCCAGTTGCCATCCTGAAATCCAGAGGAGGATTCTGTCTCAATGAAGCTGATTCCTGGAATTGAAGGTGAACTATATTGTGAAAAGATAAACTGAGGCTCATTAAACTTTTCAAGAGTTTACTTAAGCAAACATTGATTTAAATTGTGCATCCCAAAAGTAGCTCTACTACAGGAGCAAAGGGAAAGGTTCTAATATGGAAAATGTAGAAGAGAAACAAGGAAATTATTTGATTGGCCATAGCTTAGGCATTTGCCTTATTTAGGAAAGCCTAGTTGGCTGTTTGTGATTGGTTGTTCTTAAGTTTCATTTTCATGGATTTAAGCCCATTGACTCTGGCTTAGATTTGGGTTTGCTTATGTAGGTTACCAAGGCATTCGAGTCATCTCAGTCTAATGGCCTCTAATGTTTAACTTTTAACAATATAAATTCAAAAATAATATGCCATCTTTGTGTTATTCAGCTGCTAAGTCATGTCTAATTCTTTGCAACCCCGTGGACGGCAGCATGACAGGCTTCCCTGTCCTCCAATATGCGGCCTTGTTTCTGTTTTATGTCATTTGCGTTAATGGCATCACAGGTCAAATGTTGATATTTAAAGATAAATAGCAATAATAATTTATTTGGACAGGGCATTTTATATTATGCAAACCACTTTCTCTTGGACAAATGATACTCATGAAGACTATTTAGAAGAGAAAGCTTGAGTGGTTTTCTCACATTGATACAGCTTGTTGTTATTCAGTAGCTAAGTTGTGTCCAACTCTGTGACCCCCATGGACTGCAGCAAGCCTGGATTTCCTGTCCTTCACTATCTCCTGGAGTTTTCTAAAACTCAAGTCCATTGTATCAATTATGCCACCCAACCATCTCATCCTCTGTTGATACAGCTAGTGAATTGAGTTTGATACTCCAACTGAGACATATACATTTCTTTCCTTCTCTGGCCTCCTTGCTTAGTAATAATACCTGCATTGGCAGGTGGGTTCTTTACCACTAGCACCACCTGAGAAGCACCATACATGTTCTACTTAAACCTAATTGAAAGTAAAAGTTGCTCAGTCGTGTCTGACTCTTTGCAACCCCACGGACTATACAATCCATGGAATTCTGTAGGCCAGAATACTGGAGTGGGTAGCCTTTCCCATCTCCAGGGGATCTTCCCAACCCAGGGATTGAACCCAGGTCTCCCACATTGCAGGTGGATCTTTACCAGCTGAGCCACAAGGGAATCCCAAGAATACTGGAGTGGGGAGCCTATCCCTTCTCCAGAGGATCTTCCTGACCCAGGAATTGAACCGGGGTCTCCTGTATTGCAGGTGGATTCTTTACCAGCTGAGCTATCAGAGAAGTCCTAAAACCTAATTATTCAACTTCTAATGCAAGGTCAAGTTTATAAAGTGAGTCCTAAATTATTCCTTAATCTCCGTACACTCTATTCTTTTGTCATAAGCATTTATAAACCTTTAGTGCTATCCAGGTGTGCTCCCAGGTTTTTCCTCCCTTATTCAGTCTGCTTTGTTTCACTTTGGTAAGTCTTGCTATTCCTAAACTCATTTCAGGTCTTCAGTTATTTTAGGAACTCATGCCATTAGTTTTGCAGTGTATTTTAATGCCCTAGCTTTCACATGATGTTGATATAAAGATAAGTAACTTACTGCTTTTTAGTCTTCCACAACCTTCTAGACTTGAACTTAATAAAAGTAGGCAGAATCTTGGATTTATTGCAGTGGCATTTAAAAGTATTCTTGTGCTCAAAAAGCATCATAATCAGAAAAGAGAGAGAATGAGTGCTATAACATAACCCTACTGGTCATGGTGGTGAGACCAGGAACCAGTGCTGGGCCTGTCCCTTCCTCCTTATTTAGCTTGCAGTATTTTCTTTACTCTGTTACCAGTTCATACCAATATCTCCTCTTTCTAGTTCCTCTTTCCTAGCGTGCAGTGTGAAGGGATTAATTTCAGATATTATTCATGCCTCTTCCTGTAGTGTGCATCTATTTCTGACTTCTTCCTCAGGCCAACAATTTTGAGTCAATGTACACTAGTAGATTAAAAAATATATTAAAATTCACATCTAATAATCTGCGCTTACCTCTTTTTAAATCAATTTTCAGTGTAGCTCAGTTCAGTTGCTTGGTCATGACCGACTCTTTGCGACCCCATGAACTGCAGCACGCCAGGCCTCCCTATCCATCACCAACTCCTAGAGTCCACCCAAGCACATGTCCACTGAGTTGGTGATGCTATTCAACCATCTCATCCTCTGTTGTCCCCTTCTCCTCCTGCCCTCAATCTTTCCCAGCATCAGGAAATCCAAGGCCAGGTTTACAAAGTAAGTCCTAAATTATTCCTTAATCTCATTTTCCAGTGAGTCAGTTCTTCGCATCAGGTCGCCAAAGTACTGGAGTTTCAGCTTCAGCATCAATCCTTCCAAAGAATACCCAGGACTGATCTCCTTTAGGATGGACTGGTTGCACTCCTTGCAGTCCAAGAGACTCTCAAGAGTCTTCTCCAACACCATGGTTCAAAAGTATCAATTCTTCAGTGCTCAGATTTCTTTATAGTCCAACTCTCATATCCATACATGACCCCTGGAAAAACCATAGCCTTGACTAGATGGACCTTTGTTGGCAAAGTAATGTCTCTGCTTTTTAATATGCTGTCTAGGTTGGTCATAACTTTCCTTCCAAGGAGTAAGTGTCTTTGAATTTCATGGCTGCAGTCACCGTCTGCAGTGATTTTGGAGCCCAGAAAAAAAAGACTCTTACTGTTTCTATTTGCCATGAAGTGATGGGACCAGATGCCATGATTTTGGTTTTCTGAACGTTGAGTTTTAAGCCAACTTTTTCACTCCCCTCTTTCACTTTCATCAAGAGGCTCTTTAGTTCTTCACTTTCTGCCATAAGGATGGTGTCATCTGCATTTCTGAAGTTATTGATATTTCTCCCGGCAATCTTGATTCCAACTTGTGCTTCATCCAGCCCAGAGTTTCTCATGATGTACTCTGCATACAAGTTAAATAAGCAGGGTGACAGTATAAAGCCTCAACATACTCCTTTCCCTAGTTGAAATCTATGTTGTTCCATGTCTACTTCTAACTGTTGCTTCCTGACCTGCATATAGATTTCTCAAGAGCCATGTCTTCCCATCTCTCTAAGAATTTTCCAGAGTTTCTTGTGGTTCACACAGTTGAAGGTTTTGACATAGTCAATAAAGCAAAAGTAGATGTTTTTCTGCAACTCACTTGCTTTTTCAATAATCCAATAGATGTTGGTGATTTGATCTCTGGTTTCTCTGCCTTTTCTAAATCCTGCTTGAACATCTGGAAGTTCATGGTTCACGTGCTGTTGAAGCCTGGCTTGGAGAATTTTGAGTATTACTTTGCTATTGTGTGAGATAAGTGCAATTTTGCAGTAGGTTGACCATTCTTTGGCATTGCCTTTCTTTGGGATTGGGATGAAAACTGACCTTTTTCAGTCCTGTGGCCACTGCTGAGTTTTCCAAATTTGTTGGCATATTGAGTGCAGCACTTTCACAGCATCATCTTTTAGGATTTGAAATAACTCAACTGGAATTCCATCACCTCCACTAGCTTTGTTTGTAGTGATGCTTCCGAAGGCCCACTTGACTTTGCATTCCAGGATGTCTGGCTCTAGGTGAGTGATCACACCATCATGATTATCTCGGTCATGAAGATCTTTTTTGCATAGTTTTTCTGTGTATTCTTGCCACCTCTTCTTAATATCTTCTGCTTCTGTTAGGTCCATACCATTTCTGTCCTTTATTGAGCCCATCTTTGCATGAAATGTTCCCTTGGTATCTCTAATTTTCTTGAAGAGATCTCTCGTCTTTCCCATTGTATTATTTTCCTCTATTTCTTTGCATTGATCACTGAGGAAGGCTTTCTTATGTCTCCTTGCTCTTCTTTGGAACTCGTTATTCAAATTAGTGTATCTTTCCTTTTCTCCTTTGCCTTTTGCTTCTCTTCTATTCACAGCTATTTGTAAGGCCTCCTCGGACAACCATTTTGCTTTTTTGCATTTCTTTTCCTTGGGGGTGGTC